CAGTTTTCTGTGTTTCTGTCACAGTGTTACAGGGAGGCCATTCAGTACTGAGAACCAAGAAGATAACATGGCACGCTTATTTAATAGTCTTCTATTTGCTCTGCTATTTTGTCCAGTCATTAAACGGTGTTAGAATTGAGAATTAGGACTCTCTTTCCTCGCCAAACGAAAACACAAGTGACTTGTTGACTACAAGATTTACTCTCTCAGATACTTCCAGAGTAGTATGAAATCCTGGCCAAGTATCCACAGAAAAAAACCTGGTGGCATATTTCCTGGAGGCAGGCTCCACGACTGCCTCTCCCTGCCCAGAAGGACATCATAAATCATTTATAATTTATGAGGAGCCCAGTCCTGTGCTACACCCTGCTAGTTGCTGGTGTTTGTCCTCTACACACTATGGGCTCCCTTCTTCGGTGCATACAGAGACTTTTTCAGATGATCCATACGACAGAAAGCTGAGAATTTTCCCTTTGACTGGCCCAGCCAAAGAGTTAAGGAGGGAGAAGACAGGAGACTCTTGTTCCTTAGGGTTTTGCCACAAGCCTCACTTGGTTTCTCCCAAATTGGAGGCTGAGAAGGGACAGAAAACAAGACCGTTATCATTATTAGCCTATTTTCTTTTATTCATTTATTCAACAAAAACACTTTTTTTTATAAGTGCCAACAGCCTGCAAGTCACCTTTCGGGACACAGGAGTAAGCAGAGCAGAATTTTGGTCCTCATTAAGATTTTACACGTATGCATGTTAGGAGGCGATGACTGCTTATTATTTTTCAGGGAATGAAGATGGGTAAAGTGGGGAAGGGGAACGAGCCATTGTACATCAGGTGGGCAGGGAAGGGGTTTCTAGTGAGGTGACCTTTGAGCAGAGGCTTGTAGGACATGATGGAGCGAGACAAGTAGGTAGACGGGGAAATGGCCTCCTGGAAAGGACAGAGGCCACCGTGCAAGGTGCCTTAGGTGGGAAGCCCTAGGACCCCGAGGGGCTGGAGCTGGGGGAGCCAGGGGGGAGTGGTTACGAGACAGGCAGGTGGGAGACGGGACAGCCTAAGGTTACGGCGTGTTAGAGTTGAGATGTTATTCCAAGTGAGATGGGCAACCATTGGAAATCTTTGGAAGATCACCAGAGGGTAAGTGTGAACTCAGGAAAGTGGTGTCCACTGCTTCCTTTACTTCCTAGGGCAAAGTTGAACAGGTGCTGTTCTAATCAGGATTGAACTGTCAAAACATTGACTCACTCAGTGCAGAGAGTCAAACAGAAATCGTGTTTTTGCTTGATTTTGGTATAAAAGTCACTTGTGTCTTTTCAACTGGGATAAATGTGAGTAGCCATGAGCCATTATTTATTTTACTCAACTGGTGACAAGACTTTTCATGGAGACTTAGCTACTCCGTCCAGCGATCTGTGCTTCAGTAGCCCTTTGCTGGCACTATGGTTGTGCTCTAGCTGCGGGAGAGGCCCCAGCATTATGCTGTTGCACAGGTTGGTGTGAGCTTCAAAGTCAAAGAGCAGCTGGTGGGATGGTTGGGGTCAGATTCTAGGAGGCTTCAGTAACTCGCTTTGCTCTCAGTGAACACACAGAGCTGACTCCTGCCGTCTTCTGCTCACAATGCCGTACTCTAGAGCCACGGAGAGCTTGGGTAGGATGAATGTGCAGAAGTCACAGGGAGTGCAATATTGACCCTGTCTAAGGAATGCCTTCCTAAAAATGAGGGCGATCAGTAACCAAATCATGCCACGAAGTGAGCTCCTGCCTCTGAATGTTTTGAAGCAGGTGCTCAAGCACATCCCAGGAATGTTCTGAGACGGCTCCTGCTTTGCGCAGCGCGCTGGACTAGAATGACCTCTCAGATTCATTCCAATGCAAAACCCCTCTGAGCCCATGAAAAAGTGTCCGGTGAATGTGCTCTGCAAACATACAGACGCTATATAAACACGAGGCAAATATTTTAAAAGGTGAAGAATGAGATACTTGTACTTCTGTCAGAACGGTGGTTGGAATTTTGTGCCCAGCAACATACCTTCCATGCTCCGTCGCCTGCAGCTTGTTCTCGTTGGCGCTGTACACAGGTATCCGCATTGTGTGTTAAAAATGCACTCAGCCGAAGACCAAACAAATAGCCAACAGCATTTTCCTATCAGGGCCTGTTTATAGCAGGTAGAGCGAAAGAACAAAGCTGTTGGTTTTGATTCTTGGCAGGAAGCCGACGCTGCTGCTTCAAAGCTCTAGAATTTACAAGGAAGAAAGAAGAGGAATTTTTAGTTTACAAGGAAGAAAGAGGAGGAATTTTTAGCCGAGATTAAGTTAGAATTAAAGCAACAGAAGACTCAAAACTAAAACTAAAGAATCCTTTGAGATCCATAATGGAAAGGCAGAAACCAAAAAAGGGAGTGTATTCCAGGCTCTCGGATGATTTTTTAGTGCAAGAATGAAAGTTTTTAAAGTTCCCCAAAGCAGAGATTACAGAATGGACTTGATTAATGATACAGGATCACACCACATTTGAGCTGAACTAGTTGTCCTTAGTGATCATTGAATCTTGTCCCTTATTTTGCAGATAATGGATTGAAGTGACTGGCTAAGGTCACCCAACTAGTTGTAGGAGTTCTGGGACTAGAATCCAGGACTCCTGACAACCACTTTGTGTTTTAGAAAACTTTTCAGAAGCGGCAAACAATAAAAAGTTCTGTTTCATATGAGCAAAGGGTGGATGAAGATAAGAAAGCCAGCCACAACGGTTGCATTCTGAATTGGCAGTGCATTTGGTTTGCCAGAATGTGGCCTGATCCCTGGGACCAGCCGCACTTGCTCTGACAGGTGCCATCTCCATCCTCAAGCTTAGGGCAGAACAGCCGTGAATCTCGGGGCCTGTCCCCAGGAATGGAGGCCAGGACAACTGTTGCGAGAGGTCTGCAGTCCTGCTACCCCTCAGGGCCCTGTCATGCATTAACGGGTTTGTACAATCCCTGGGAGGCAGCAGTGGTCAGAGTCCTTCTAAACCACCTGCAAAATCTCAGCAATGTTCCACCTGTCAGTGTGGGTGTTGTTATTTGGCTTCCTGTGCTGATAAGGGTTCTCTCCTCTTCAGCAAGAGTCTGAACAAATTGAAACTGTGTTTAAATAACTACACTCATTCTACAAAAAGAACTGCCCTGAAAGAACTCATTGACCCCACGCCAGATTAACTTTGTCCATTGAAATCACTAACCTTTAAGTAAGCTGTTGATACTTGTTTTGGAAGGGACAGGGAGAGGGGTGGGTGAGTCATCTAATGCTGTGGTCCCCAACCCCTGGGCCTCAGCCTGGTACTGGTCCATGGCAGGCATCACCGCCTGAGCTCCGCACCCGCCCACACAAACATCCACCACTCCACCCCCTGGTCTATGGAAAAATTGTCTTCCATGAAACCGGTCGCTGGTGCCAAAGGGGTTGGGGACTGCTGCTCTCATGGAAGGGAGGAGAGGCTTCTGCATATGTCTCTATTTAAAACCATAAGATGTTCGTGGGCATTCTTTTGACCATTCATTCATTCATTCGTTACCTCATTCATTTTCTTGTTTGTTTATATTCTAATTCTGTCTAAAAAATGTTTGAGAAAACTTACAACAAAGAGCGTATATACTATACATAAAATATAAATCAAGTCAGGTTGCAGAGGGAGAGGAAACAAGAGATTCTACTCATGAATTGTCATATGAAATCTGTGTTAATGTCAAGTTTTACCCTGACGTTTCTAACAACCAGGATTAAAAATGGAATATACAATTTCTAGTTATCAGAAGGAGAAAAAATCCAGTTTCTTCAAGAGAGACTAAGTGTTGCCATTCAAGGGCTCTTGTCATTAGTAAACACTTTTCTAAGACTTTCATGCGCTTATTACGAAACTGGTCGCCCAAGGCACACCCTGCCTCCCCCGTCTCCTGTCAGTGTCCTTGCTGCAGGCCACCTGGAACATTGAGAAAACATGTTCTTAGTGTTGTCACCAGCTCCCTTCGCGTGTGTCAGGGCATGGCTTGGGGTAACGGCTTTAGTTTGGGTTTAGTGTAGTTGAAAAGTAGCTCCAGGATTTTCAGATTATAAGGCCAGGAGTAGGAATCTTAGGGCGGGTCAGAAATCGAGTGGGACTGTGGCTGCCCCTCGTCCACCAGCGCACCTTTGCTTCTCCTCAGGGTTCCCTGGACCCCTTATCCGGCCCTTCTCTGCTGTGTCAAGGTACTTTTTTGAACAGAGCGTTTGGAGAGAATAGAGTTCTGCAGAACACACTTTGCTAAATGTTGACTCAAAGTATTAGTAGATGACAAGCCCACGTGTTAATTTTACACACCTTCTTGGCCCCTGAAAGTGAGGAATGGAGCTAGTGGTTGCATAGACATGTAGGGTTCAGGAACCCTAACATGCACATACAAGATGAATACTACAGAGGCCTCGCTCCTGAGCTTTTAAGACCCATTCTGAAGTTGTACTAGGAATTTAAATTTCTTTCAGAAGAGGGAAGAATCAGTGTTGGGATTGTCATCTCTTTACATGCCTGTGAAAATTGTCCATTCTTAACTTCTTTCTCCATTCTCCTAAGATGGGTTTTTCAGTGGATATACCAGAACCCTCTTGAATTTGTGAGTATGACATGTAATGTAAGCATACATTGCATATCCATAGAGTCACATGCTTTAGAATGCATCATTGCCAAAGATAAAAATATTTCAAAGTGAGAAGTGACCTATAGTTGGTGTGGAAGAATATGTCTGGATTCCTAGCCAAAGATTACCATTGGGAAGACCAGGGGCAGTGGCTGGGCTGAAGCACAGGCTGGAAGCATTTGCCCTTGTCTTTGCTATGTTGATTCGACTCCAATGATATTTTTCTAGGCAACTGGAAAACCCTGGGGTTTGAGCCCCCGTGTGAATGGAATGAATACGCTCAACTCTACTTGGAATGTTTTTCATAATTATTTTAAGCAATGACTCGATTCTTACTTGTGCTTGTTCTTTTTAAAAGTATTAGAAAGGAAGATATCCACAAGACAAAGTAGAGAGGAGCTGATAAGAAGGGGAGTTCTTAAGGAATTGCCTGATCAAGGTGAGGAAATTAATCATACATTTAAAATAATTTGATCCTTCATTCTTTGGCCTTTCTTTTATTTTCTTTTGAAATTTAAAATGATCGTGGTCTCTGTCAGATGAAGCAGTGAGTAACGTACTGCGAGAACCTCGCTTTCATTCTCGATGCCTTTGTGGGCTGCAGGGAATTCTGGGTATTACAGAAGAAAAATCCAGTGGCTTTTCTGGTGAATCTGTCACCCTATGTTACTTATCTAAACCCCAGACACTACAAAGGTACATCTGTGGCTAGTGATTCAGATGAGATACAAATGCTTATATGACTCCTTCTCTTCTCTGTTCTTGAGCCTCACTCTTTCTCTTCACATCAAACTCAATCGTTTGAGTAAATGCACAGTTTTAGCTTGGTCTGTGCCGTATTCGTTTCTTAAGACTACCATCAAAAGAAAAGAGAGAAGAGAGATAGCAGACTTGCCTCAGATGTACAATCAGTAAGGCCTGAAAGGCCAAATTAAATTAATCTGCTTTCTGCATTCTTTCATTTTTCCAATATTGATCTCTTTTCATTTCTCTGAATCTAGTTGCCTCTCACCTTTTCACTAACAATGATTATTTCTGAGTTTTTTTTTTCCTACCTTTAATCTTCTTTCCTTTTTTCTCTATCTTCTCAAGGAAGAATCTTGCTCAGAAAAGGCAAGGATTAGATAGAAACTGAGATTGACCCTCAAAAGAAAATATCAACGTTGGTTATTTTTCCAAATAAATAATTGCAAATGATTTTTATTGCTCCCACTACTATTAAAACTAAAAGACATTTTGTTATAACATTGTTGATTTATCTCATGCCTACGCCCTTCAGACATTTACTGGGATCAAGTATTATTATTACTTTTATGAGAACGAATAAGATACTATTAATTTGGAAATGAAATAATAGTACTTTCTCTTTTTATGATATATGTTCCCTGCAAAGAACTTAACATTTTTGGGCATTTACTATTTATAAATCGAAATGACACACTTTTTCCAGTATCCGAATAATTCCAGAAGTGGAGCTGAGAAATGCTTTACTGTTTTACTCCCGCTTCAAAGAAAATAAGGAATTCTAAGGCTCATTTTTCTTGACCCCTCACAATTTTAGGTATTTTATTTCAGTTTCTTACATGTCAAACTTTTCTCACACTACTTTACAAATGAACTTTATGCCTTCCCTAATTTTCTATTACCTTGAAGCTATTTCCTGTCTGGGACTTTTAACAATAAAAAAAATGCACATCGCTAACTTTTTAAAACTTAAAGGTAGGCGTGCAGTATCAAAATTCGTCTCCGTCCAATCTCTCTGGAGGCAGTAGAGAAATTACATACCTGCTGAATGCTGAACACCAAACCATCAGCTTTATGGAGTGGGCCAATGCATTCATTTGGCATCTTTTATTTGGAAATATTGTAAAGAAAGAAAAAAGTAGAAAGATTTACTATTAAAACTGTTAATAGATTTAAAGATAGAGATTAAAGGCCCATATTTTTCCTAATTAAAATTTGTAGGTAGAAAAGAGTTTACTTTTTTTTTTTTTTTGAGACACAGCCTGGCTCTGTTGCCCGGGCTAGAGTGCCATGGCGTCAGCCTAGCTCACAGCAACCTCAAACTCCTGGGCTCAAGCAATCCTCCTGCCTCAGCCTCCCAGGTAACTGGGACTATAGGCACGTGCCACCATGCCCTGCTAATTTTTTCTATATATATTTTTAGTTGTCCAGATAATTTCTTTCTATTTTTAGTAGAGACAGGGTCTCGCTCTTGCTCAGGCTGGTCTCGAACTCTTGACCTTGAGTGATCCTCCCACCTCAGCCTCCGACAGTGCTAGGATTACAGGCATGAGCCACTACGCCTGGCCGAGTTTACTTTTTCTAAAATCAAGTAGCAATGGTCAATATAAAGAAATACTGAGCATTGCTTGGTTTTTATTCTGCATAATCTGTTAAACTATTTGCATCATAGACTACAATTTCTTCGGCCAACATATACTTATTTCTCAGATATCTGACTCTATTTGACCTTCTTATTTAACTTTTGCAGCTGAACATTAAAAGTTTTTAAACATTAAAAAAAAAAATTTTGACCTAAACATAATAATGTAATAGTTTTAATGTTTGGGAAGTCATAAACTACTGAGATTCACTTTCCACCTTTTGCATGGTTCCTGTATAAAACTATAGAAATTACCTAACGGTCGAAAGTTCCTGGGAATACCTAGTATAAATGGAGTCCTTCTCCTTTGCAGCTGAGGGCTGGAGAAAATAGTTTTCTGTCACTTTCCCAGAAATGACTATCTTGAGAATTTCAGTCTGGGAGACTGGAAGCTACTGTTCTTGGTGACAGCCTCCTCTCTTCTGCCAATGAAGGTTCATTCTTTGCCTTGATCTTTCCAACCTTGCCTCACTCTTAACAGTGCCTGTCAATCAAGCCCTTTATTCAGTGAGCCAGATAGACTTTAAATCCCTCCAGCTACCCTGGGTTTGACCTCATCCCTTCCTGGCCCATACCTGCACACCAGCTTTTATTATTACTCCTTTCAGATTCTCTTTTTCACACCAAGACACACTTTCAATCTAAAATTTCAGCAATTTGTTTTATCTCCTGAGAAGTCCATGGTCTAGTCCAAAGTTCCTTTTTACCTCTGCTTCTTCCCTTCCACATTTTCCCTTCGCTTTCACATGACGGGCGTAGAGGTGTTTTTTGCCTTTTTCTCCTGCTGCTTACTTACAAACTTCTAATGAGTCACTCACCTTTCGCTCGTACATGATTTTCTCCACATATCTGTTCCTCCTTTAACTATATCTCCAGTACACCTGTTTACCAGAAAGAGGTAAAGTCCTTCAAACACTCATGCTCCTGATTTAACCACTTGTTTCTGATTGTGCTTTATTTCTCATTTTACTTTAAGCTTACAACTATTAATATTTTCTGAGTTTTCTCTTTCCTTTGCATACAAATGCTCCCATGAGACTTGTCGACCTGGCCTCTCATTGTCACCTGTCGTCTAGCTCAGCATCTTTTCTTGCCTTTTTTTGCTGTGCTTGTATTTTACTGACATATGTACACTATATCAAGAATTCAACTTACTTTAATTCTAAAACAAATTTCTTAGCCCACAGTACTAGGAAACCTTTTCAATACATGCACCAACTAGTTAATAACTTTAATTCTTCTCTATTTTATTTTTGAATTCTGTATTTGTCACAAAGATGTCTCCTTTTCTACAGTTGTTTTCGTATGCACTAGCTTTATTTCATACCTCAAAGTGAGTTTCTTTCCACATTCTTGACTATTTTTCTCTGTCATACGATAATCCAGTTGCTTCTTGTGTCACAACTATTTAATGTTCTCTCTAGCCATTTTGTTCTAAATTTTAAAAATCTGTTATTTAATTTACTGAAGAATTATAATAATGCTTAAAATTGAATTAAATTATCATTAACATGACTTTAACATATTTTTATTACTAACTAAAGTCAAAGAAAACAAAGATAAATTTATATTTGAGTTACCTAAAATCCGAGGACTTTTACATAAAAAAGTGGTTTTCCATTTTGTTTGGAATTTTCCATTCTTTCTTCATTTTTATTTTATCTGGACACATTGTGTCCTCCCCTCCCTTTTTTACAGCTAATTTCTTGGGATCCAATAATAGGAATTAAGAATCTTTTGGGTTCTTTTTGGTTTGAGATATATTCTTTAAAAAATTCATACCTTAATTTTACTGACATAGTTAATATTCACTTGCAACGGCATGGCTTAAATTATTGTCTATTTTAGCTTTCCATAAGGACTCAGATTATAGGTGCTTGGGAGTTATATGACTAAGCAACAATTGCTTGTTCAATCTGAGCATGAGGAATTCCATGACGTGTGTTTTACTTATATACATGTCGTGCCTGTTTTTGTCAAGAAGGTGAATAGGTTTTATTGCCAAGCCACAGCAGTTCAATCATATTTAATGAAAATTTGGGAAATGGTCTCTGTTTTATGATTACCAAAATAATATTAATCAAAAATTCCATAGAAATAGCTCTTATCATGCATTTCTTCAACTTTGCTAAGTCAAAATTTCAATTCACTTATTTTTATTTTACAATGGTAGCAAAGCCTCTTCAATTTTTCCAGGTATGAAGTAGGGTTAATCTTTTCAAGCATCACTGAATTAAACGTTTCTAGAAAATCTCTTTCACCTTAGAAATCCCTGGGAATTATGAAAGTTTGGAGGTTAAAACTAGTTATTTATGAATTAGATAATTATTCAAAATTTTATTTTCAACTGATGTTTTAAAATTTCTCTGTGATTACTCTTTTCTTTGTTTTTTTTTCAATTATTATTAGGCCTACTTAACTTTTCAATTAGTTATATATAATAATTACCTGAGTGCATTTTAATCTTTCTATAAATAAGAAAACAAAAATAAAATTAGCTTTGCTACCATGTTTTCCTTGGATATAGACTAACAGTTATATTATTGTGTGAAGTTAGCAACCTTATATATAATATACTCTAAAAACAGTGGTACTTAGAAATTCTCATATTCTCCCATCAATTGTTTGTACATGTAATTACATTTCATGTTATTTGTGTATTGCATTCACCTTGTGTTTTTGGTGCTGTTAAAATGTTTATTCCATTTTCCAGATTATTCCTTTCACCATTCCGTTTCTGAATAAAAAAGAAACACTTAAGTATTGACTTCACCCAAACCTAAGCACTGGAACAGAAGGACTCTGCTGCCCTGGGATTGTATAATTAGGATAATCATTCCTACTGTCTCGAGATGGCACACGGATATTCCTTCCATAGCTGCTTTCCCCCAACGCTAAGGACTTTCTAGCTCTTTTGTTTTGAATAAATTATTTGGGGAAACAGTGCAGATGTATTGGGTTCCCAGGCACTGAAACGTGAACCCAAATCCTACCATCCTAGTAACTGGAAAACTTGTTTTTAAGAAAGCCGTCAAGTTAGACATCTAGGTGTTTCTTTCCCCTTTTAGATGGAGATGTAACAGTTAACTTTGAAAATTCAAACGGGCACATGATACCCATCGGAGAGGAATCTACCCGAGAGGAAAATATAGTAAAGTCTGAAGAAGGTAATGGCTCTGTTTCTGAAAAAACACCACCTCTGGAGGAAAAGGCAGAAGATAAGAAAGGTAAAATAAAAGAGAACCTGTATTATTTACTTTAGTACAGCTCAATGTCTAGAACCAGGTCTTGGGCTCCAAACAGGGACTCTAAAACCAGCAAATTCTGCTGAGAGAAGGTTTATAAATACAAAGAAGAGAGAAATGATAACTAGTGAAGAGAAATGGGATGATTTTCTCAGGTAGATGCATTTTTTAACCATACTATTGATTTTTTTATTATTAAAGAGGGTTAACTAAAGGTAATAATCTGAAGGAGTAGCCTCTTTAATCGTTAGAGATGTTTGAGAATACTATGCTTTTCTTAAGAGCTTTTTCTCAGGATCTTAAAAAAAAAGTGAGAAATCTGAACATCTTTCTCTGCTGGTTACAGCTGGCCCCTGTGGGCAGCTCAGCATGGAGGAATATCAAACCCCACGTGGCTCTTTCAGCCCAACACTTTCTCTCCAGCAGTGGGAACTTGGCATGCGACATCTGCATTCCCAATATCGTAGGTTCTAGACATTTCTGAGAGAGACCCAGGAATAGTTCCCAGAGACGCCAGGACTTTGGTTGCTCTGTTTGTTGTCTGATTGTCACAGTCCCTGCTCCGAGGGATTTGCCTGTGCAATTGGCTATTTCAAAATGTGCCAGAGGCAATTTTGCGATTCCCTGAAGGCTTCTTTAGAGACTTTGGTTTCTAAAGTGAATATGCTGTGGTAGAGTGAGATACCCGCAAAAATACATGTCTATCAGGGACCCCCAGAACCTTCATGAATTTTTGGTCATGGATTGATTACATCTCAATACCAATGCTATAATATGCAGGAGGAACCTCAGGGCCTCAAATTTATGCAAACCTGAACTGAAACTCCCATTAGGAAAGATTTTGTTGGGAGATCTTAGATGACTCCATGTAGCATAGAAGGGAATCCTCGGAAAATAGCCTATTTCCTGTTTTATAATGCCTGCCTCTGAGTCAGATGGCCAAATTTTGTCAAACCTAGTTTGAGTTCTGCAGGCATTTTGAGAGGGCTTAGGAACTTCTCTTCCTCTCTTCACCTCAATTCTCCAAAAACAAAGGGAACAAAAGAGTATTTGATGGCCCTATTAAGCACACAGCTGTAACTTAAAATCATCTTCTCTGGAAGTCTATAACCATTTATTATTTGCATATAAATTCATCTTTAAAAGTTTTAGGGGCCAAGTGTGATGGCTCACACCTATAATCCTAGCCGAGGCAGGAGGATTGCTTGAGCCCGAGAATTTGAGGTTGCTCTGAGCTATGATGAGGCCACTGCACTCTTGCCCAGGCAACAGAGCAAGAGACCCTGTCTCAAAAACATTAAATAAAATTAAACATCTGTTCATCTAACTCACCTACTCCTTTAGCTTGAAAAACAAGTTTTAGAAGCTTATGTTAATAATCTGTTGAAAATTCATTATTTTGCTTTATTTCATGGAGCTTTACTTAGCCTTGTCTCATTGAAAAAACTAGTTAAGCTTATGAACACCAATTATGAGAAATTAACAAATTGTAACGATAATGTTCCTGGAACATACAGAGAAAGTAGACTTAAATACATTTGAAAGGGATTTAGTTGAAAGTATTAATGTAAGTAGTGACATTTTTTGGTTTTTGTTTGTTTTTAAGTCTTACTGTCCTGTCTCACCAAACTGTTAAATTTCAAATCCATCTGTGGTTTGTCCCTGGTGCAGACTTCACGTTCCAGAATCACATCCTTCATCACGTAACAGCGCCACTTCTGGCGCTCGCCTCGTCCACGTGGGGTGTCAGTCACTGGACTGGCCAGACTTCAAAGCAAGTGTTTCCCTTATCAACATAATAAAAGTTGCTGACAGTTTTATGTGAATTCACCAGCAGGCCTTGATGTTCTAGAAAGAAGATGGCAGACCTTCTAAGTCTGTGAATAGCTGAGGCGTTTTTCTTTTCTTATTCTTTACTTAGAATTGGTACATTCAGTTCTCTCTGGTCAGATAAGTTCCAAGAGAACCCCTTGCTTGGCTAGGCAGTACCTAAGGCGACGGGCGTGCCGGAAGGGCTGCGATGCCACTCATGAGGCCACGCAGCCCCCTCCCACTATGCGGACAGTGCACACGCCAGAGCCACCCTGATAATGAGAAGAAATGGGTATGAAACCACTTCCTGAGACTGAAATGAATATCACCCATAACTAATATTATGGTGTATTATGTTAAATAGGAAATGCCTCATGAACAATTTATAAGTCAACAGTTTATTTTTCTGGAAAGACACATTTAATTCTGAAAACTCACCTAAGACTGAGTTTTGCCTCTGCTCCTCTTCTGGTCTCACTCGTCGTGTGAGCTCACTGTCATGCAAGCCTACCATCTCATGATCTTAATTCACCCTTTATTTGGGGAAACAGTGCTCCCTTTCCTTCTGCATTAAGGCAGCTTACTCAAGAGCATTGTTTTGTCTATTAATTGGCTATATTTGCAAAGCCACATCACATGCCTTTAAAATCCTAGAGATTTATATCACTCTATAAGACAATATCTCAGTACTTTAATATTTGAAACATCAGTGTCAAAGAAAGCAAAACAATTGGTAAGTGATGTCCTTTGCACTCGCTCTGTGGGTAGCTTCTAGCCAAGACAGGCGGGTATTTCTGGAGCTCCTGAAGGCACTTGACTTTATAGTCAATACAGTGGTCTTAGGCCTCCTCTGCAAATGCTGGAGACTTCTTCCTTAAGGTCTTCAGGGCACTTAGTCTTCCATTATTGTTTCTCAGCAAGTGCCCTTAAATATATAAGAGCAGAAAAAATGTCCTGCTCTCTGTGAAATGTAGCTTGGTGTTAAATAGGAGAAATCTGAAAATTGATATTATTTCTATTGAGTTATTGTAAAGGGTTTTCCGTGAATTAACAAATTATGAACACTTATTTGTTCCACAAAGAATAATGAGGGTCTACCGTGGGTAAGACTGTACTGGGGCCTAGGAAAAGAGGAGTGAATGAAAACTGGCCTTTGCCCTCAGGCGGATCACAGCCTATGAGGAGACCAGCATGCAAACAGGCAATTGCAGTACGAGATGCCAAGTGCCATGCAAGACCCAAGTGCAGTGAGCCAGGGGAGCTTGCAGCAGGGGCCACCGCTGGTTCTCAGAGAAAGACATTTCTAAACTAAGGCCCAAAGGAGACAAGGAAGTAGTCGAGTGAAGGAGGGGAGTGGGGCAGAAAACCATGCTACGCAAGGTGAAGAAGGCACGCGGTGCCTGGCCTTGCTCTGAGTATTGCTGAACTCAACACTTCAAGTGGCCGGAGGAGCCACACGTGGACATCTGGGAAACAGCTTATCTTCCTGACGGCGTTGCTGTGACGCACGGCGTCCTTGTCCAGCCAGAATGAATAGGCAGCCCTTCTTAACCTCTTCTTGAAATGATAACCCTCATATCCTGCCTTCAGATCATACGATAATAGTAAAAATTACGACTTGACTTAATTCCTTACCTCCCAGATAGAAGTGAAGAGTCTGTTTTCTACTGGTTTGGGTGTCAATAACTAATAGCCGGACAGTGACATTCATGAATAGACAGGATGCTGAGAGCATTGTGTTTGATGGGATATAAAATTTCAGACAAAAGGAGTTTGTAATTTGGTCAGAAAAACATACAATTTGTGCACTCACATGCACCCCCCACACAAACACACACAACTTAGGAATCACCAGAGTGACAGACACTCACAGGTAGGTGGTAGAGTTCGAAGAGTGAGGAGGTGTGGGCCGTCTTCCCAAGGAGTCAGGAGAACGTTTGTGTGCGTATGTCCATCTTCTCCCCAGCAAGGATTGTCCTTCCCAACTGTCACAGAGCCACCCATCTCCTCCTTCCCAAACCCAGAAGCCAAATGCTTTGCTGTACAACTTTAGAATGTAAAATCTTAGGCAGAAAGAAAAAATATCCCTCAGTGATATGCCGTGAAGTGAGAAGATAAGACGTGTGGGCTTATGGTATGAAAGAGGGTTAAGATCTCAAGTGTTGCAGATGAGTTTGGTCTCACCATGGACAGTATCACTGGGCTTGGTCTCCACACATTTCGGTATTATGCTAGGGGCTAAAACTACAAAGACGTATTTAAAGAATAGACTTGGGCCCTATGTCTAAGTCAATGTGTATTTGTAGTTTGTACGTTAAAATAAAATGTTTTAGGTGTGTATCCACTTGTATCATTCTCAACACTAACTGACTCTTGTGATTGCCTTGGCTGGTTCAGAACAGCCAGGTTTGGAGGGTCACTACATATGATAATAAGCAGCTTAGGTGAGGAGATGAGATGTATAAACAGAAAGGCAAAAAGTACAAAGTAGCCTCTGATAAATGTTGAATATGTGGCCTGCACAATAAGGCCGTATGAATTTAGAGGCGGGAAAGGTCAATTTGGGCCACAGCGACTTGTGGGGTATTTCATGGCTGAGGCAGGATAAAAGGTGAACTTTTAAAGAAAAGTTTTATTGATTGCCTACAGTAACTTAAGTCATTGTTATGGTGGTTATATATGTGTGGATTGGTGGGGGGAGTGGTAAAAAAAAAAAAGATGTTTAATATTTCACACTCAGTAAGAAACAAAATAATAGAAATAATAATAAAATGTGATATATTCCAATAGTAAAACCATTTCTTGCTGCTTCATTAATGGGAGGACATACCCAGTGAAGGCTTAGTCTTGTCTTAACGCTGTCATATGTTTTTCATTGTGCCCATTTTTAAAGAAGTGCTGCTTAGCTCTTTGGACCAGAACCATATTTTAGTTTATTTTCCTTTCAATCAGTCACTGTTAGAAAAAATGGGATGAGAATATATGAATGAACCTTCAGCATCTCCACTTTCTTTCAGTAGCAGGGGACTGATAGTCTTTTTCTGCCATTTATGCAAAATCTTGGCAGAGGCTCCTGTTATTAGCTATGAGTTTTTATATGAATTTTAACTTTTGTCTTTTCAAAACATTATTTGTGTTTGCATTACAGAACAAACACAGATAATTTTTGGATTCTGTACCCTCTGTACCTATAGCTGTGACAACATTTGAGAAGGGCAGAGGAAGTTATTGTAGATAGGAAGCTGCCACTGTACGGGGAGAGCTTGAGAACATTTTAGAAAATGGTTCATTCTTCAGCACGTTGTACCTCATGTAAAAGATTCTCCAGAGTCTCCCTTAGCTTAGAAGAGATTGATTTTTGACCACAGTAAGACTGAACACAAATCTTTTTCTGATTGATCGGGCTCGAGTTCTCGAAGGTAGCTAGTCCAGTGGTAGCTGTGGCTGTCGGTCCTCACCCCACAGCACCGGGTGGAATGTGCTCATCCGCCACCCTCCGGGGGCCTTCAACTTTGTTACGTTTGTTAAATTTAAATTTAGCAGTGAATGCCCACGTCATCATCCAGTAACCACAGATTCAAGGCTGGACCTAAGGCCCCTGACCTGTGGACGTCTATACTCATCCTTGACGTAACTTCATCAAAGTAGCTTGCATAACCCAGTTTTATCAAAGCAGTGATTAATGTACCTGGAGAGTACACCCCAGTTTGTCTTTCAGCCTTTGTTTTTACCCCAAACTTTGCTCTTTCTGGTGCAGAACTCCACGTGGGGTCCCAAGGGCCAAGCAGCTACGCTTTGTATCACTGTTGTCATATGTCTTGCTCCTAGTTTTTATATGGTGTGTGTCTGTATCAGTCTGCCTCTGTTCACTTTCTCATTTATAGAGAACACTGAAAAACACTCTGAAACACCGGCAGCTCCTGCTCTACCTCCTTCAGCTCCTCCTAAGCCTAAACCCAAACCTAAACCCAAAAAAACACCTGTGCCTCCAAAAGGGGCCACGACTGGGGCCAGCCACAAAGGTGACGAAGTGCCTCCAATTAAAAAAAATACCAAGGCTCCTGGTAAGCAGGCCCCCATCCCTCCACCCAAGCCAACAAGCCGAAACACAACCCGAGAGGCTGGTGAGTATGCCCCCAGTGCCCTGTGGGGTTGAGTCTAGCGTGCTTGGCTCTGGGATGAGGCTAATTGTTTCTTCTAGATGTGATGCTCTTTTGGGGTATTAGGACATAATACCAGAGGATGCAGCTTCGATACAAAGAATGCCCAGGAGATTCCTTTGTTGCTGTCTAGCAAAGAAAAGTCAACCCATTGATTAGCTCACCTCCTTAGTTTCATCTTGAGTATGTACTATCTGCATATGAGACCCAGTTGAAGGGTGCAGGGAGTAGCATGCCTGATGAATGACAGTGATCTTCTAGAACATTATTTAGACATTGACTGACCTGCCTATTTGAGTTTATGGGTGGCTTTTTGGCTTGGGTTTTCTTTCAAAATATCTTAGGTTTGCATATAAAAATATGACACATATCTTTGGCATATTTGCTGGATGTCAGTGTCTTAAGTTTCCAGCATCCATAGTTATCTTCCCTTCTGATAAATGACAAAGCTCCACTCAACTGGTTCAGCTCCACCCACCTACTTTCTACCATAGTCTGAACGGTTTCAGTCTAGTTGAAAGTTACCCACTTAGTCCCCCACCACTCCCCAGAGACTTCAGTGTGTCATAAGGCAAGCCATGTAGTGTGGTGTGGTTACAAATTGCTATCACAGATCACCAGCGGATGTTTGACTGATTTACAGTAACTTCATGCAATATGTATCCAGCCTTCCTTTCCAGTCAGATATGCTTAATGCAAAGTGGAGCTCCCATTCTTCTAGTGAAGTGGAATAAAGATGGCTACTATGTCATCTAACTTTTAAAAGGATGTTGATCGAAATCCATAAGCCCAGTGGCTTTTCCCCATTATCATGTGCATAAAAGTTCTCCTGTGCTATAGCAAATCTTGTTTTCCTTAAAATCAGCAGCAATGTTCTATTAGTTGACTACCAGGATTTGCCTTGGTGTTGATCTTTTTTCCCCTCATAATTTATACCCACAATGCTCGAATTCAGAGAGTGGTTTAGTTGACAGTGTAACAGATCTCTGAATGCAAATGGATGTCCCTCTCTTCCTGCCTTTGAACTTTAGCTTCTGGGTCTCTTCTAATAAGTTCTAAAATGAAATGTTTCGGAATGATGCGCCTGCAGTGCCCATGGGCCATCTCCTCAGGGACCAGCTGTCCTCACCTATCAGCATTCATGCTTGGTGGGTTCTGTGTGTGTTTCCCAAACTGCCTGCACACCCTGGGAGCAGTGCTCGAAGTGAGGAAGGCACTGATCTACTTTTTAAAGAGAGCCCCAAACCATCACTCTGTCGCTGGGGATTAAGATCCTGTCTTGCATACACTTCCCACTTCCTCATTCCCCACGTAGTATCGGCTCACTGTGAACTTGGCGTGGACTCCATTTACTTCTCTCAGAAGAAAGCTGATGATTAACGCAAGAGCAGGGGACAGCTTTCATGAGAGATTTTGAGTTATTTCCAGATATTTTACTTGAAGATTTATTAATAGACTCATGATGTTCCTAAGAGAATAGTACAGTCATTTTATTCGTTGTATAATAAGAGGCCCAGCAGACCGTTAGTGTAAATAAGAATGTGGCTATTCCAGGGACTATCACAGAGAAACAGAGGTGGCATTGAAGTATACCAACAAGCCCATCGTCCAAGGATTCTTTGATCAAATATGGATAATATTCCTTCAGAATCCTACTTATATTTCATGTGTAATTGTGCACAATTCTCTGCATGCTGACTTGGTTTCATTTGAATAATGTTGATCTTTTGGAAAAGTTAGTTTAAATGTAGCTCTTGATTTTTAGTCCAATGTTTTATATTGTTAAAAGAGCTATCAGTTAAGTTTCTTCCTCTTTTAGTAAGTTAGTATAAGCCTCCAGATAACCAGATATCAGTTTAGAACATTCAACTGCTTTTCCAGGCAAGTAAGGTTAAATCTTCCTTATTTATTCTTTCTCATTGTTACACACTACTAACAACAAAAGTACTTAACCGTGGAGAGGTGGCATTTCTTTTTTTAAAAAAAATCATGGCCTTAATTTAAAGTAATTTAGGCAACATGGTTGGTTTCAGCAAAGTCCTGTCATTTTAGAAGATTCTTAAGAAAAAACATAATGTGGCTTGAATTTGCACTCCAGACATTGAAAAAAAAATATCTTTTTCCTTAAGCCAGGCTACTATCAACTTTTCTGTTAGAAAAGAAGGAATTTTCTTTTAAAAAATTATTAGAAGTGATATATGGAAGGGATTCTGTTTAACTTACCAAGGAAAATAATTGAGCATGTTTAGGCATGAAATCCTCATTATCTTTGTTGTGAAAAGTAAATTTAGAATGGACTTAGCTTGAAGGAGTTTGCTTAATGAGTTTGACTTGTAAGCAAGTGAAGGTTGTTAACTATAGAGATATATTAACAGGTCCAGATTTGGGGAAGGAGAATTCTAATTATTACTTATACCTAAAATAATAAAGACTCCAAACCATAGGGACTCCTTTTAAGGCTGGATTCTGTTGCTGCATGAGATTGGCTTCTTTAGTATATCAGAATTAATGACGTTTTACATCTCATTGTCTTCATCTCTTAACCTTCTCTCCACTTCAATAAAGTTATAACTGGAGGTAAGTTACAATAGCATCTGTATGGACGAGGATTGGCTCCACAGTGTGAACAAGATATTTTCTGATAGATCTGTGAAAGATAATTCAACTTCTCATGAAAAAGAAGGAACATACAACATTATAATAGAAGCAGCAATGAGGAGAAATGTATAGATCATAAAGATCACAAAACAAAAGAATATTCTCATAGGAGTTTAAATGTATATCCTAAGATGACATAAAGAAAAGGATAATTAACCTTTTTTTCCTGAAAATGGTTTGGTGGAAGGTGGCCCTATCCAGAAGTAGGTAAATATACCAGGATGATCCTTTGATGAAGATCCTCTTGGAACGTAAACCACATAAGCCTAAGGAAGATTACATTTGCAAAGGTGGGGTCAGAAGACCTTAGAATGATATTCTTTCCATTCAAATTATTTAGGTGCTACCCACGTAATATTTTTTGTAAAAAGGAAGTTTTTCCTGCCTTCTGATATTTTGAAGGGCACTTGTCTTTCCTGCGTGGCATGTGTCCCCTGTGTCCCATCACTACTGCCGATGAAAGTACGGACCAGCATGGCGAGTTTCTCCAGAGCTGTGGGAACAGTTGGTTTGGAGTTTGCTCTTTTTTTTTTCCCCCCAAACAGGGTCTTGCTGTGTCACCCAGGCTAGAGTGCAATGGAGCAGTCATAGCTCACTGCAGCCTCGAACTCCTGCACTCAGGATTTTCCTGCCTCAGCATCTGAAGTAGCTGGGACTACGGGTGCTCACACTGTGCCCATCTAATTTTTTTTTTTCTGTAGAGATGAGGTCTCACTATACTGCCCAGGCTGGTCTTGGACTCCTGGCCTCTCCTGCCTTGGCCTCCCAAAGTGCTGGGATTACAGGCGTGAGCCACCACGCCCAGGCTGGAGTTTGCTGTTTTAGCACTAGGATGAATGAATGTGCTTTTGACCCAGAAAGGAGCTGGCGATATATACCCCAGCTGCTTCTGAATGCGGGCTGGCACTCCACTCCCAGAGAGACATCAGAGAACATGTATAATTTATGATGAGCCCAGTTGTGTACCACACCAGCTAGCTACTGATGTCTGTCCTCTACACACCATGATACCCCTTCTTCAGATAATACGGGGCTTTTTCAGGTGACCCATGGGACAAGGAGCTGAGGATTTCCCTTTGGCTGGCCTAGGTAAAGACTAGAGGAGGGAGACAACAGAGGGCACTTGTCCCTCAGAGTTTTGCCATAGGCATCACTTGCTTCCTCCTAGATTGGAGGCAGAAAACAAGACCATTGTCATCATCACCCTATTTTCTCTCATTTATTTGTTCAACAGATTTTAAAGGGAACATTTTAAATGCCATTGACAATTATAGCTCGGTTACTTTATTTAAAAAGCATCGTACATATTCTTTGATTTTTTAATGCAGAATCTCTCTATTGTAGCTGGTTCTTCTCATTCAAAAAAACCAAGTGGCTCCAAAGCATCAGCTTCACCATCTACTTCATCCACCTCCTCTCGTCCCAGAGCTTCAAAGGAGACAGTTTCTAGCAAAACAGGGACAGTGGGGACTACAAAGGGCAAGAAAAAAACTGGCAAGCAGCCAACGACTTCTCGCCTGTCCTCAGACACAACCGCTTGTGGCGCATCCGACCTTACGGGAGAGCCTTCGGAGAGCGGAGTGGAGGGTCTCGCACCCGAGCAGACTGTCTCTGGGGCTGAGGAGCAGACCACAGGCAAATCCAAGTCTGTGGTCCCTCCGCCCCCTGTGGCTCCACCGCCTTCTCCCCCCGCCTCTCCTCTCCCTCTCGAGGATCAGTGCATTGTCGCCCCGGACACTCCACTTGTCCTGGTCAGCGTTGGAGCTGACCTGCCCGTCTCTGCCTTAGACCCAAGTCAGCTTCTTTGGGCTGAAGAGCCGATGAACAGAACCACTCTCCACTCAGGCACTGGCTTAAGTGATAGCAGAGAAAGTGCAAAATGGTGAGTCGGGCACAAACCCCATGTTCCACTGAGTACTAAAGGTCACTGATGGATTCTGTTGGAAACGAAGGAACCTAGTTTGTTTTCTTTTATAATTTAACCTCCTGAATGTTAGGTGTGCACATACATGACCCAGGCCTTGGTTTTTCAGAGCCCTCGCCCTGGGAATGCCTGCGACTGCTGGAGGCGATGACATTGGTAACACCAATAAACACCGCTTCAGATCTGTGGTTTTCACGTACCTTTAGAAACTGCTTCTGCACTGCTCGGTGGTCCTTGTTTTTGTCCCTAGAGAGTTCCCTTCTCTTCCCTCACAGTTTTTATTTTAAATCTTTACCACTTGGGTCGAGATTGCTCATCCACTGCTGCCCACCTCATTTTAGCAAGTTACTTAGGCTTCTCCTTCTCCAAGGGCATAACGACCATCAGGAAAGAACTCAGATTCGAACTCCTTTTTCTCCCACCAAAGTGGCCCCCTTTCTTGTCCCTTTAATTCCCCACCCGGCTCAAATGTTACCTCCTCTGTGAAGCCTTCCAGTGCTTCTAGACAGAATTGGTCATTGTGTCTCCTATATTCAGAAACCTCTTTTTTCCTACGTATGGGACAGAATAGCCAGCATGTCTTATTTATTGTTGTGTCCCCAGCAACACATTCAGAGTCTAGTATACTGTAGACACTCAGAAAATGCACGGTGAATTATTGAATGAAGATGAAAAAATAAGCGAAGGTGGTTATAGGAAAGTTAGCCTACTTCAACATGGTGGAAGCTATGTTGAACATGAGATGAACTAGGTGCTAGATTTTTTAAATAGGACATAATGGAAGATAAAAGGTAGTGGTCAAGTAGGCTTCATTTCACTTAAGAAGGTAACCAAACAAAATGAGCCAAGGAACTTGATGTTGCCCGCCCCACCACCCAGATTCCCAGGCCAGAAACTGGGGTTCATTTTAGGGTCCTCATTCTCCTTCCTTCCTTGCATCTTATCACTCACAAATCCTATAAGTATTCTACTTGCAGATATATAAGACATGTTAGCGCTACTACCTGTCCACAGGTATGAAGGGAGGTCTGTCAGAGTGTAGTAGACACAACTATCAGTTCTGTCTAGGGAAGGCTTGGAGTTCTTGAATCCAAACTCTTCTCTCCTGTGTTGAAGAATAAAACCTGTATTCACTCTTCAAATCATTTAAAAGGTTCTATTTCAAAAAACTTTGTCATGCTAGACTTTTTAAAAAAAATTATTATATTAATTAAAGTAGTTGTGGTCAAGAGACTAAAATATCAACTTTAACTATTTAATTGCTGATAATAACAACGTTCATTCATTGAATACTTATTTAATGTCAGGAACTAAGCACTGTATATATATTATCATTTAATTTACAGATGTCTTCCCTGAAGTATCCCCATTTTATACATAAGAAAACTGGCACTCAGAGAGATAAATAGTTTTCCCAAGGTTGCCCACTTAGCAGTGGCAAAGCCAGAGTGCAGACCCAAATTCTATACTCTGAATAACTTTATAAGTTTTCCAGAGCAATTTCTTTTGCTTCTATTTCTTTTCTGTTAGTTTCTTATTTCTTTGTTTTTATTTTTATCATTTTTAGCACCAAAATTTGAAGGAAAGCCAAGGAAAGATAGATAAATGTCAAACTACAAATTAGTTTATTTGTTTGACATTTTAACAAAAGATAGGGGAAAAGACGATATTGACATGAATCATTATGGTACCTGTCTTAGTCCATTTTGTGCTGCTATGACAGAATACCTGAGACTGGGTAATTTATAGCAAACAGAAATTTATTGGCTCAATGTTCTGGGGGCTGAGAAGTCCAAGATCAAAGTGCTAGCACTTGGCAAGGACCGTCTTGCCCTGTCATCACATGGTGGAAGGTGGAAAGGCAAAGGGCACACCAGGATGAACACACTCCCATGAGCCCTTGTAAAAATGGCATTAATCTACTCGTGAGGGCACAGCCCCCATGACCTAAACACCTCCTGTCAGGCCCTACCTCCCAGCACTGTTGTATTGGGGATCAACTTTTCAACACATGAATTCTGGGGGACACACTCAAACCACAGCAGTGTTTTTAATACTTCCAGCACACAGGAAATGTCTTCATTTAATCATAGTATTTTCCAGCACTGCAATCACTTCCAGCATTTAGAACTGAACATTCATTCTTTTAGCATATATTTTTTGCTTGCATTTTCTGTGCTGGGAAATGTAGTAAGCGCCAAAGATACAAAAATGAGCAAGACAGGGTAGTTGAAAGTTTTTACCAAAATGTCGTCTGCTATGCCCAAGAAGTATAAATATTTAAGATGATGTCTGAATTTTGGAAATAGGTTGAGCATATGCTTTATTGATCAATATACTAAAGACTAGGGTACAACATATAAAATGCTTCCTTAGATAGTCTTAAGCATTCAGAAAGCTCATAGCCAAAGGTGACCTGACTGTCCAGTTCATCTCCACAGACATTCAGGGAGTGCACTTGATTGTGCTAAGCACCACACTGCTGGTGGGGGCTTAATATCCGTCTTGAGCCCCAGGATGTGAAGAATGGTCAGACAGAAGAGGTGCGCATCTGTGACGTTTCTGCTGGAACTATAATCAGAGGGAGAGAGCTCAGGATGTCATTTGACACTGAGGATACTTATGATAGATTTTCCTCTCAGTCAGGTAGCTATAATGTTTTCTTAGAAGAGGTCATAGAGATTTTCTTCTCCATATATTCTTCAAAATTAAAAATTTAAATTACAGTTCATTCTACAGGCATGGTTTGTGTTTGCTCTTGAATTAATGAACCTGGAGTAAGTAGTCTCCCAAATTTCCATCCAAATTCTGTCTTCCTTTTTCAAGTGGGTATTTGAATTAGAATTTCTGGCTCTTAGTCACTAGCTTTACTTAGAACTTTCCCTGAGTTATGTTTAGTCAACTAATGTATGAAAATCTGTCATCTTATGAGGAGACTTCTGTTTGGAATACAAATATGAAAACTTGAACACACTGGCTGCCACACTAGAAAAAAATTTTTTCCCTTGGAGCCGTGGTGTTTTATTACAAAAATAGAATAAAAACTTCAAAAACAAAATAATCTTTTCTAATTTAATGAAAAATTTGTTATTTTTTATTGTTTTCTGTGCATGAGTTTCATGCAACTTGAAAAATAGTTCATGCCACTCCCAAAGTAAAGAGGCATGTGAGTAACATATGCTTCACAAGGCCCTGGGCTCAAAACTAGTGTGAGTTAAATACAACTCACATGGCAGTTAATGTTAAATGGGGCAAGTAGCTGTGTATAAAAATACCTACCTCTATTCCCATATTATAGGCTACTGTTTGGTAAGCTTCCCTTCACTGGCAGCTTCATCAATAACACATATGTCCAGTATAATATAATGCAGAAATTATTATAAGAAGCCCATTTGAAAGCCATATCCAAAAGTGACTTGACTCTGTTCAGTTCATTTCTGCAAACATTTACAGAATGCACTACATCTTCCAGGAACCCTAGGGAAAATAATGAGAGCTAAGTCTTGAATTGATTGATACAAATTTGGAGCATATTTAATATTAAATATAACTTAATATAACTTATAATATTAAGTATAAAATAAAGTATAATATAATGTAACATTTAATAGGTAGAATGGATTTGCTACCTTGGTTGGACAACTCTTTCATGGCCTTCCTGAGTTCCATGAACTATAAATCATCTGCCCTGCTTATTTAATACTGTGCAAAAACTTGTAAGTTGTAAATGTATGCTGAACTCTTTTAAAACTGTAAAACATTATAAAATACAAATGATGAGATTAAAATAATAATCAATATCATAATAAATTAGTAAACAGTGGCATGAACAAATAAAGGGGCTCAACTCTCAAGTATTTTTTGTTTTGCCATCCAGAATGTATCACTAATTAGCATGTCTTTTAAACATGCTGTGGTCACTCATAATGGCAGACTGTTCAAACAAGGATGGCTTCCAGTGGCAATCAACTAAAAATCCACACCGTGGAAACGTTTTCCCATAAAAATAGATCTTCCCTTATTTAGGATGAAACTTCACGCTGTATAAAACAGTATGGTGGTTCCTCAAAAAATTAAACATAGAGTTACCATATGACCCAGCAATTCCACTTCTGTGTCTGTAGCCAAAAGAATTGAAAGCAGGGGCTTGGATTTGTATAGCAGTGCTCATAGTATCATTATTCACAGTAGCCAAAAGGTGGAACAGCCCAACTGGCCGTTGACTGATGAATGGATAAACAAAACGTGGCA